AATGCATTTATCTGTCATAACTTGCAAACCAAGTCAGCGATTCTTTACAACTTTAGCTATATCTGAGTATTTCTCTCAACCAGAAACCTGAGATGAATATGGAATTTATGATTCCGAATAAAATTGGACATAAATGTTCGAGCTTCTTGTTATTTTGTCCATACCAATATTTTTACCTGTATTAGATGAGGTATGAAAATGGAAAACTTCGGTCGACTATATCTGGTACCTCATGCAAATTTTAAAATTTTCGAAAAATTATCACATAAAGTGAAGGAAGTCCAAACCTGGCACGCCGCAATATTTATATCATATTTGTGTAGGTCCTATACGAAATGGAAAATATTGGCCCATTCCTTCAGAACCCAATCCATAAAGGGTCAACAGTTTGAATAATCATAACAGAAGTCAAAATATATTTAAAGAATCGAACATTGGCTGAGGGTATACATCTGTCGACAGAACCGTCGAATACTTTTTAACTTGTTTAATATCTCGTTTTAATTATACATTCATCATTCCAATAGAATTGAAATAAAATAATTAAACAATTGATGACGACTTAATCGGTCTATAACTGTTTTAAATAAACATCTGGAGGTATGCATATAAATAACTGTTCTGTACACCTTCATAAATATACCTGTGACGAACATGTGTCTTTGTAGGCTGGCAGGCATTTGATTAAAACCAAATAATTAAGTCAATATTTTTAAATACCGCAACCTGGTGTTGCTGTTTATTTTTGATGGAAAACACGAAGTTGTACAACGGCGACTGCAGGAAATTTGCATTTTTTTTTTATAAATCTGTTGCGGGTAATTCACATTTTCTGTTGACCAACTACCGGAGAGATGTGAAGCGAAGAGGGGGAAGACCAGCTAATTTTATCAGGAAATTTACTTTCTAATCGTCAACTGATCAATAACAGGGAACTTCTGAATAGGCTGGTTGGGTGACTGGCTGGCTGGCTGGGTGGCCGGGTAATTTTCCATCACCACGTGACAATCACAGATCAATCAATAATCCCAGTTATTATTTATGGAAAACGTATTTTTTTTTGTTTTAATTTTGAGATAAGAAAATAAGTTGCCAGTATTTAAAACTAATTGGGCGGATAAGTGCTATTCGAAATGCATTTGGAAATTATAGGCTTAGTTATGTAAAAACACCGATTCAATGTGAAGGAATTTTTTACTAAGGGTCTAATATGGGTCCATGGGTCTATGGTGCATAGAAGAGCTGCCGGTCTTCTATGGTGCATAGAAAAGTTGCCGATCTTCTATGGTGCATAGAAGAGCTGCCGATCTTCTATGTTGCATAGAAGAGCTGCCGATCTTCTATGTTGCATAGAAGAGCTGCCGATCTTCTATGGTGCATAGAAGAGCTGCCGATCTTCTATGTTGCATAGAAGAGCTGCCGATCTTCTATGGTGCATAGAAGAGCTGCCGATCTTCTATGTTGCATAGAAGAGCTGCCGATCTTCTATGTTGCATAGAAGAGCTGCCGATCTTCTATGGTGCATAGAAGAGCTGCCGATCTTCTATGTTGCATAGAAGAGCTGCCGATCTTCTATGTTGCATAGAAGAGCTGCCGATCTTCTATGTTGCATAGAAGAGCTGCCGATCTTCTATGTTGCATAGAAGAGCTGCCGATCTTCTATGGTGCATAGAAGAGCTGCCGATCTTCTATGGTGCATAGAAGAGCTGCCGATCTTCTATGGTGCATAGAAGAGCTGCCGGTCTTCTATGGTGCATAGAAGAGCTGCCGGTCTTCTTGGATTCCTAGAATAGCTGCAGGTCTTCTTGGATTCCTAGAAGAGTTGGTGGTCTTCTATGGCGCCTAGAAGAGCTGGAGGTTCCATGGCGCCTAGAAGAGCTGGACGTCTTCTATGGCGCCTAGAAGAGCTGAAGTTCTTCTATGGTATATAGAAGACCAGGAGGTCTCCTATGGCCAATAGGAGACCTGGAGGTCTCCTGTGGCCAATGGAAGACCTGGAGGTCTCCTATGGCCAATAGGAGACCTGGAGGTCTCCTATGGTCAATTGAAGACCTGGAAGTCTCCAATGGTCAATAGAAGACCTGGAGGTCTCCTATGGTCAATAGAAGACCTGGAGGTCTTATACGGTCCATAGAAGACCTGAAGATCTTATACGGTCCATAGAAGACCTGGAGGTCTTTTACGGTCTATAGAAAACCTGGAGGTCTTATACAGTCCATAGAAGACCTGAAGGTCTTATACGGTCCATAGAAGACCTGAAGGTCTTATACTGTCCATAGAAGACTTGAAGGTCTTATACGGTCCATAGAAGAGCTGAAGGTCTTCTATGGTCCATAGAAAAGCTGGAGGTCTTCTATCGTCCATAGAAGAGCTGCCGGTCTTCTATGGTGCATAGAAAAGCTGCCGATCTTCTATGGTGCATAGAAGAGCTGCCGATCTTCTATGTTGCATAGAAGAGCTGCCGATCTTCTATGTTGCATAGAAGAGCTGCCGATCTTCTATGGTGCATAGAAGAGCTGCCGATCTTCTATGGTGCATAGAAGAGCTGCCGGTCTTCTTGGATTCCTAGAAGAGCTGGAGGTCTTCTTGGATTCCTAGAAGAGCTGGAGGTCTTCTTGGATTCCTTGAAGAGCTGCCGGTCTTCTTGGATTCCTAGAATAGCTGCAGGTCTTCTTGGATTCCTAGAAGAGTTGGTGGTCTTCTATGGCGCCTAGAAGAGCTGGAGGTTCCATGGCGTCTAGAAGAGCTGGAGGTTCCATGGCGTCTAGAAGAGCTGGACGTCTTCTATGGCGCCTAGAAGAGCTGAAGTTCTTCTATGGTATATAGAAGACCAGGAGATCTCCTGTGGCCAATAGAAGACCTGGAGGTCTCCTATGGCCAATAGGAGACCTGGAGGTCTCCTATTGTCAATAGAAGACCTGGAGGTCTTATACGGTCCATAGAAGACCTGAAGATCTTATACGGTCCATAGAAGACCTGGAGGTCTTTTACGGTCTATAGAAAACCTGGAGGTCTTATACAGTCCATAGAAGACCTGAAGGTCTTATACGGTCCATAGAAGACCTGAAGGTCTTATACGGTCCATAGAAGACCTGAAGGTCTTATACGGTCCATAGAAGACATGAAGGTCTTATACGGTCCATAGAGGACCTGAAGGTGTTATACGGTCCATAGAGGACCTGAAGGTGTTATACGGTCCATAGAAGACCTGAATGTCTTATACGGTCCATAGAAGACCTGAAGGTCTTGTATAGAAGACCTGAAGGTTTTATACGATCCATAAAAGACCTAAAGGTCTTATACGGTCCATAGAAGACCTGAAGTTCTTATACGGTCCATAGAAGACCTGAAGGTCTTATACGGTCCATAGAAGACCTGAAGGTCTTATACGGTCCATAGAAGACCTGAAGGTCTTATACGGTCAATAGGAGACCTGAAGGTCTCCTTTGGTCAATAGAAGACTTGGAGGTCTCCTATGGTCAATAGAAGACCTGAAGGTCTTATACGGTCCATAAAAGACCTGAAGGTCTTATACGGTCCATAGAAGACCTGAAGGTCTTATACCGTCCATAGAGGACCTGAAGGTCTCATACGGTCCATAGAAGACCTGAAGGTCTTATACGGTCCATAAAAGACCTGAAGGTCTTATACGGTCCATAGAGGACCTGAAGGTCTCATACGGTCCAAAGAAGACCTGAAGGTCTTATACGGTCCATAGAAGACCTGAAGGTCTCATACGGTCCATAGAAGACCTGAAGGTCTCATACGGTCCATAGAAGACCTGAAGGTCTCATACGGTCCATAGAAGACCTGAAGGTCTCATACGGTCCATAGAAGACCTGAAGGTCTCATACGGTCCATAGAAGACCTGAAGGTCTCATACGGTCCATAGAAGACCTGAAGGTCTCATACGGTCCATAGAAGACCTGAAGGTCTCATACGGTGCATAGAAGACCTGAAGGTCTCATACGGTGCATAGAAGACCTGAAGGTCTCATACGGTGCATAGAAGACCTGAAGGTCTCATACGGTCCATAGAAGACCTGAAGGTCTTATACGGTCCATAGAAGACCTGAAGGTCTTATACGGTCCATAGAAGACCTGAAGGTCTTATACGGTCCATAGAAGACCTGAAGGTCTTATACGGCCCATAGAAGACCTGAAGGTCTTATACGGTCCATAGAAGACCTGAAGGTCTTATACGGTCCATAGAAGACCTGAAGGTCTTATACGGTCCATAGAAGACCTGAAGGTCTTATACGGTCCATAGAAGACCTGAAGGTCTTATACGGTCCATAGAAGACCTGAAGGTCTTATACGGTCCATAGAAGACCTGAAGGTCTTATACGGTCCATAGAAGACCTGAAGGTCTTATACGGTCCATAGAAGACCTGAAGGTCTTATACGGTCCAATAGAGGACGTGGAGTTCTCCTATGGTCAGTAGAAGACTTGAAGGTCTTATTCGGTCCATAGGAGACCTGAAGGTCTCATACGGTCCATAGAAGACCTGAAGGTTTTATACGGTCCAATAGAAGGCGTGGAAGTCTCCTGTGGTCAGTAGAAGACCTGGAAATCTCCTATGGTCAATAGAAGACCTGGAGGTCTCCTGCTGCCAATAGAAGACTTGAAGGTCTCCTATGGGCAGTATAAGACATGAAGGTCTCCTATGACCTGTAGAAGACATGGAGGTCTCCTGTGGTCAGTAGAAGACCTATATATCTCTTATAGCTCATAGGAGACATAAAGATCTCCTATAGCTCATAGGAGACATGAAGATCTCCTATGACCAATAGAAGACCTGGAGGTCTCTTAGGGCCACTGGAGGACTTGGAGTCTCCTATAGCCCATAGAAGCCATGGAGGTCTCATATGGTCAATTTAAGACCTAGAGGTTCCCAACTTTTATTCTTTATCCGTTATCCCATTATTTTATTTTATTTTTAAATAATTATTAATTATTTTCATTTTCTTCCTTTTGTTTTTCTCTCTCTTCAATTCCAGTACCTCCTCGTTCGACTTAAATCCTCGTCATTTTCCCAAAGATTTCCTCTGGGGCGTTGGATCGTCATCGTATCAAATTGAAGGTGGTTGGAATGCCGATGACAAGGGTGAATCGATATGGGATTATATGACGCATAATCATCCCGAGAAGATTGCCGATCGTTCCAATGGTGATATATCGTCGGACAGTTATCATCATGTAAGTATGACCACAGCAAAACAAATCAGCAAATGTCAAGTGGAAGAAAATGACAAAAAAATAATCGAGGCAATGAATGACAAAACCGAATTGCATTGAACTTGTCTTTTAGTTTCGATGGCTGGTTCGATTGGCAGTCAAAGGTAACTGGTAACTGGCCATCAAGCCAGCATTTCATCATTTTGTGGACACTTGTTGTTCGTTGGTTGGTTAGTCAAAATGATATGTTGCGGTTTGCTACTGGCAGTGCCAAACCGCAGACCAAACAACCAACCTGCCACCCATACAACCAGCAGGTGCTGCTGGCATGCAAATTGATTCTTGTTGTTGTCATTGATAGATAATTAATTTTGTTACAACAACAACAACGGCAACAAAAACAATGCAATAATTAAACAATAACTTGTTATTATTAACCGTAAATCAGCAACGAATCAAAACAATGTTGACGACCAAACCACAGAGAGAGAGAGATAGAGAGAGGGAGCGGTATTCGGTCTGGGTTTAAAGGAGGTTCCTTAGAGTCGATATCTACATCTCAGAGTTTTTTTTGTTTTTTGGTGTCCATTTTGCCAATCTGTTGGCATTGTTCAATGCAACAAATTTATGATTAAATTAATCTAAATTAAGCATATCATTTAATTGCGATTTTCAAATCATGCCGCAGTCTGTCGGGGTGACAACATAATTGAATTGAATAATGGGTGGCTGTTTTTCGTATGAGTTTTGAGTTTCGGAATGGAGTTGGAGGGAGAAGAGAGGGAGATGGACATTAGGTGTTGGATTTTAGATGAAGTTTTTCTTCGTATTTTTTAAGGCTGGTGTATGGTTATGGTCATTTGAATGTACGAAAAGGATACAATTATTATCCTGAAATTTGGGATGAAATTTGGTATAAGAGTATTGTGGAAATTCGCAAAAAAACTGTACTAAAAGTACTGTACTAAAGTACGAAATGTTATGCCTGGATATGTTGGTATTCCAAAATTTGCAATGGCGTCACTTGCGGCGGTTAAGACTAGCGTTTGCTTAAACCGAACTGAAAAGGGTACGAAAAGTACAAGTTTGTACTAAATGTTGTTCCACGTCGAAGGAGAATTTTTACAATTTGTCTTGTGGGACACTGTTTTATGTTTTCTATCCAGATGGTTCTCAACCAGCGAGAAAAAGAAATGTTTTGTTTAGGTCTTCTATGGTCAATAGTAGACCTGGAGGCCTTCTGTGGTCTTTAGAAAATCTCTAAATAATATAACCCCTGAAAATCTTCAATGTCGAAAGAAGATCTGCACAGAAGTTCTAAGAAACATACAAACCTTCCAGGGTCTATAGGCCTTTAGGCAAGACCTTCAGGTCTTCTATGGACCGTATAAGACCTTCAGGTCTTCTATGGACCGTATAAGACCTTCAGGTCTTCTATGGACCGTATAAGACCTTCAGGTCTTCTATGGACCGTATAAGACCTTCAGGTCTTCTATGGACCGTATAAGACCTTCAGGTCTTCTATGAGCCGTATAAGACCTGAAGGTCGTCTATGGACCGTATAAGACTTTCAGGTCTTCTATGGACCGTATAATACCTTCAGGTATTCTACTGACCGTAGGAGACCTTCAGGTCTTCTATTGACCCTGGGAGAACTCCATGTCTTCTATTGACCCTGGGAGAACTCCATGTCTTCTATTGACCATAGGAGACCTCCAGGTATTCTATTGACCATAGGAGACCTCCAGGTCTTCTGTTGATCATAGGAGACCTCCTGGTCTTCTATTGATCATAGGAGACCTCCTGGTCTTCTATTGACCCTAGGAGACCTACCGGTCTTCTATTGGCCATAGGAGTCCTCCAGGTCTTGTATTGGCCATAGGAGACCTCCAGGTCTTGTATTAACCATAGGAGACCACCAGGTCTTCTATTGGCCATAGGAGACCTCCCGGGGTTCTATTGGACATAGGAGACCTTCAGGGGTTCTATTGACCATAGGAGACCTCAACTGGCCATTGAAGCCCACTTGGTCTTATATTGGCCACAGAAGACATATAAGCTTCTACTGGCCATAGGAAACCTTTAACTAGCCACAAAAGACCTATATACCTATATTGGCCATGGAAGACCTCTTAGTCTTATACTGGCCATAGGATACCTCTTGGCCTTCTACTGTCCATAAAAGCCCAGGCCTTCCTTCCGTGCATATATGGACCTTTAACTGATCGTAGATAGAAGTCGTAAAAGACTTTTGATCATAGATGACCTCTAAAACTTCTACTGGTCATATAAGACATCTATGCCTACTACTGGCCATTGAAGACCTCTTAGTCTTATACTGGTCATAAAAGACCTCAAAGCCTTCCACAGACCATAGAAGACATCTAAGCCTTCTACTGATCATAGAAGACCTCAATTAATGACCAGTTAGACCTCTTGGTCCTACACTGACCATTGAAAACCTCTTAATCTTATACTGGTCATAGAAAATCCCTAGACCTTCTACTGATCATAGAAGACCACTAAGCCTTCTACGGACCATAGAAATCTTCTAGGCCTTATAATGGTCATATAAGACCTTTAAGCCTTCTACTGACCATAGGAGATCTTTAAACCTGCTACTGGCCATAAAAGACCTCTTTACCTACTACTGGTCATGGAAGACCACTTAGTCTTATACTGGTAATAGGAGATCTCTAAGCCTTCTACGGACCATAGAAGACATCTAAGCCTTCTACTGAACATAGAAGACCTCAAGGCCTATTAATGACCAGTAAGAGCTCTTGGTCCTATCAGGACCATTGAAAACCTCTTTATCTTATACTGGTCATAGAAAAACTGTAGGCCTTCTAGAAGACCTCTAGGCCTTCTATGGACCATAGCAGACATCTAGGCCTTCTACTGATAATATAAGACCTCCAGGCCTACTAATTGCCATTAAGACCTCTTGGTCTTATACTGGTCATAGAAGACCTCTAGGCCTTATACTGATCACATAAGATCTCTAAGCCTTCTACTGGCCATAGGATCTCTTTAAAACTTCTACTGGCCATATAAGACCTCTAGACCTACTACTGGCCCTTGAAGACCTCTATGCTTACTATTGGCTTTTAAAAACCTCTTGGTCTTATACTGGTCATAAAAGACTTATATGCCTTCTACTGATTATAGAAGGCCTCTAGGTCTACTACCGGCCATTGAAGACATCTTGGACACCTACGGGTGAGATGAAAAAACTGCAACCAACTTCAGACTGCTGTAATTTCTAAGCCACTCGTCCGACTGCTGTTAAAATTATACCAGTGACAGCTTACACCGCAACAGAAAGAAAATAGACTCAAAAGAGCTAAAGAGTTGCTTCGCTTGGCGGAAGTGGTGAACTGCCGATTTTGGTTTTCGCCGTCTCCGATGAGAAAACATTCGTTGTCCAGTAGTTTGTAAACAACAACAACAAAATGATCGGGTTTACTTGCCAAGAGGTCAGCTGAAAATGTACACCTTCTGCTGGCCACCAGAACTAAAGCACCAGAACCAAGCGCCGGCCATGGTGATGGTGTGGGACGCCATAACTGCCGATGGTCGCAATCCGCTCGTATTAATCGACCGTGGCATCAGTATAAATGCAGAATATTATCGCGAAAATATTCTGAAGGGTGTATTAAAGCCTTGGACATGTAAACATTTTGGCCGCAGACCTTGGACATTCCAATAGGACTCAACAGCATCGCACTCAGCACGCGCAAACCAAGAATGGTTACAAAATGACGTTCCTCGCCACCAAAATCTCCGGATGCCAATCCGTTGGACTATTCTGTCTGGAGTATTTTGGAAAGCAAGGTTGGCACTAAAAAATACCAAAGTGTCGATCACCTCAAACAAGCGCTTAGCCGGGAATGGGTCAAAATACCGCAGAGCAACATTCGGGCAGCGTGCGAATCTTTTGTTCGAATTGGCCGTTTGAAGGCCATAATTCGTGTCAAAGATGACCAATTCGAATAAATCTAAACTTATTCTAAAATTTGATGCTATTTCCGACATTTTTTGCTTTCATTCAATAGAATTTAAAGAAAAAATGTAAAAATAACGGCGTTTGACTTTGTTCCAGTTTTTTATCTCACCCTGTATATATGGGAGTTATATCCAAACCTCAATCGATTTTAATATAATTTGGTGAAACTATTTTAGACCAAATTTCGTCACACATTCTAAATTTAATTGCAATTGAGGATGCATATTGTGTTTGGTCCATCAAATAAACGAAATCGGCGGAGCTATATCTAAATCTGAACCGTATAATTGCCATATAATTTGAAATTCGAGGAAGATTTTATATTTATTTAAAACCTTATTTTCACAGTTATTGTTGTCTACAAGTTCCTCAGATTACATGTTCCCTTAGACCTTTTTTAGGTAAAAACGGATTTTACTTGTTCCAATTACCACATGTAAATATTCGAAAAAGGAGGTTATCCTAATGTATTCTGACTTCAATCATGTTCGAACAAATTGCAACTGACAAATCGTTACAAAGTTAACTGGAGTCAAACAGATTAACATCTTGCGACGGTATTTGTTATTGTTTTGTTACTGCTGTTGTTGTGAACACCAGAGCAATTGTCAGCGTTATCTTGTAAAGAGAAGACAGAACAGAACAGAGCATTGAAATGCATTCATGTATTTTGCCACGCGCTGATTGTTAAACATTAACAGTCAGTTAAAAAAGTAAGCGTCATATATATCTAGAAATTTTATACGAGGGTCAATCTTGGTGCTTAGGCGTGTGATAAGGCTGGTTTTTTTTCGTACTAAAAGGGTACGAAGAGTACTTAAATGTACGAAAAATGTAATACTTTGTATTGGACAAACGGAATAAGCTAGATTTCTGAAATTTGCAATGAGAGTCACTGATGGAATGCAGATGATAGATGTACCAATGGGTTTTTGAAAATTCGAACTTTACAGTTACGAAAAGTTCGAAAATGGTACAAAACTTTTAAAATGCCACCATTTGGTATTATGTG